TATAGCAAAGTAGCACCTCGACCAAAACTTGTATAAAAAGAGACTTTAGATAAAAGCCATTTGAACATTTAGATACTGATAATTTCTATCATAATTTCTATCTTTGTCTTCAGACTGATCTCTGATAATTAAAAGTTTAGGTCTTCTTAAGTTTAGAATCGGAAATAAACGGAAAATAAATTGATGGAAATTGAGAAAATATTTTAATCTCATACATGAAGGTCGGAACGATCTGGGCTCTATTTTAGACGCAGTCTCCTTTCGCTGCATAGAAGTGATTTGATCTCGTCTTCGCAACTTGGTCGAATTGTCAAGGTGACTCACAGATAACTTAGAAGATGAGTTCATCCAATTCCCATTGACAGCACGACCAAGTTGCGAAAATGATGTCAAACCACTTTAATCTTGGGAAAATATTGCCTAAAATCTCTCTAGAATATTGAGTAATTGGTGGAGACGTCTATTATATTCTTGAACAGCTTCAACCCTAACAAAAATAAATCAAGAAAAGGACAGGTGATGAGGACCTAACCCTTACAAGTCACCCTATAGATGGAACAATGCCTGATTTACAAGACAATATAGTTGACGTAGGCTCATCGCTTTTGATGGAAAAAAATTGTTCGTTTATCAGTTAGATAAGATAAATAAATAAGCATTTGAAATAATACATCAGGGAGCTTTAATGCCTATACAAGAAACTAATATCGAATTCTTATCCAATATTAAGGAACTCCCTACTTAAGATCCTTATAGATCTGGCCGTTACAGGTATCGATACCAAATCAATGTAGATATGGTTACATTATGCTTAGGCTAATCAATGTAAAAACTAAATTGGATGACGGATGAAAATCAAATCTATTTTTAATCAATTAGAAGATTAAATCTACTCATCCAAGAATCAATGTAGTCCTAAGCTTGAGCAAGGGTCACAAGAGGGCGACAGACTCTAAATGCAATGGGTCCAGAGGAGAGAATCGCGGATTAAACCGCAGCCTTGGATCAATACTTTCGGCATGGTAGGAGAAATGTGGAAACTAGTTGCGAGAGTGAATAGGTTTCAAATAGGTCTAGATAAACAATTAAGAAATTGTGATATTAAAAGGTTGATACGAAGAGAAGGGATAGGTAAATATCCCAGGACAGAAGGAGAGATACCACAACTGTTTAGCACACAATTGGTCAAAAGATCGACTTCATTTGTCTCTTTGACGAGTTTTAGTGTCGTGCAAAGAATGGCAAGGCTAACTGACAATGCCGACTACGATGCTGGCGAAACGTCAGAGAATGTACCAAGTCCTAGGTCCGACTCTGGAAATGATCATGCATACTTTGGACTCAGGACAAGGTGCGTTACTCTAGGTCTTCCTGTCAATATGACCAAGTTGCGAAAACAAGGCCAAACAACTTCTACACAACGAAAGGAGATCGCGACTATACAAAAGGCTACCCGATCTTGGTCTTCATACCTTGTATTTTATCTTCATTAGCACAACTCCCAACTCGGCCAGTTTCACCTACAAGAGTTGTATCCTTTCGAGAGGGTTTAGTAGGGCCCAATTATTCTCTCGGCTGAACTCCTCATCCCCTATTTTGCTAATGATGTTAATCTAATTTGGTCCCTTCAGCCTGCAATATATTTCATCCAGGTCGACAAAAGTCCTAAAGGATCACACATTTTACTCTGTAACATAAAAATAGCTTTAGAATATGTTATTGTAAATATTTCGGAGAAATACTTAAAGAAGACCAAACAGCAGATGGAAACAGAAATAATCCTGAGAATCTAGGAATACCAAGAACCAATAAACAGGAGCGGATTAACGAGGATACGCAGAAATTTATAAAGGGATGACCAAATAGCACTTCAGATGGATAAGAGGGAATAAGCAGAGCACGGAAAGCATATGATATGACCATGAACTTATCGAATATGAATAAAATACCCAACTAGGAAGATCAACGAAATGCTAAAGAAAATGCACCTGAATAAGAAATCTTCAGATGAATGATAATTCTCTAGTTAAAAAGGACACAAGTACATCGATGGCCTATGGAGCAACACATAAACTGTTAAAAGGATTTGCTTAAGGTTTGAATTGTTTGAATTGTCTATAAAGGATAGAAAACATTAAAATGGCAAGAACAAAAAGTTCTTAGGTTTTGACATACAATCCATGTACATAAACGTCTCCGACAAGAGGGCAACCAAATTCTCCGATGGAGATCTCGGAATAAGAAGAATATATCCAGAAAGCAGAGCGGATACAGAAGTCTTTAAAACAATTTATAAATTTAAATTAAGGATCACATACTTCACATTCGACTTCAATAAATATTTGGTGTGCCTATAGAATCTATACTCTCATCGCTGTTGGCAAATGAATATAAGGACATGTTAGAAAAGGAATCCGAGACGTTACGGTTACAAGCAAAAGTACTAATGCGATACCTAAATGGCAACTATGCACTGCGACAGCATGGAAGAATTCCACAAATTTGTAAACCGACATGATGTACGAATCAAATTCACAATGGAGTCTAAGGGGAGTGAGCGGCTACGACTTGTGAATGCCAAGGCGAATTGGCCCAAGAAGACGAATATTCAGAAAAAAATCGCATGTAGGAATAAGTCCCAATTTCCAGTTTCATTACAACTGTAGAGGGAAGGTAAAACTAATGAGGAGCCTGATTATTAGAAGGACAAGACGAACAGATATGGAATTCTGGATAGAAGAATTGAGAAAACGGACTCAGATTATCCTTACTGACAGGCACCTATATAAGTCATATAAGGGCGGCAAAGAGCAGATTAAACGTGGATATTATTAAAATAAAGCCCTAAATGAGCAAGGAAAAACATGGCAGTTCTCTTGTGAAATGAGTGAAAAACTGCGACCGATAGTAAGAAAATGGACTAACCAAGTAATCACGAAAAAGACGACATTTTTCGCCACTTACCAATGCAACTCGAGAAATCATAAAAACGAGACTGCTCGGAAGTTAATTAAATAACATGCAGCCTTTGAGAGCAGAAGTAAATTCGTCGAACAGGAGGAAAAACCAGCCCACGAATCAAGGAACATCATGGATACGTAGAGATACCAAATGATAGAACGCACTGCACAGGTGGGAGATGAAATCGGCTGGAACGCAGCAGAAAGACTGTCAAGATATGTTTAAAATAGAATGGAGTGCAAGAATAGAAAGGCCATCTATATACCTCCTGAAATAAGTTTAATGGGCTGAAAGAAGGCAGAATTGGTGAAAACATTTAGTATTGTTAAGCAAACTAGGAGACCAGGAGTCAGATCGATCAGCAAAAAGTAGACGACTATATCAAGGAGGAAGTTGAAAGAAGAATTGCAAGTAAGAGGCCGTAGGAGAACACTTGGAAATCAAGACGTTTAAAGTGAGCCCATTCAGTCGGATTAAAGAGCTGTAACATTTGGTGGTTGGCATACAAGGGACTAGTGAATAGAAAAGTCACAGATTCCTCATTAAGGATAAAAGCACTAGGCCAATTTTACGAGAATTTCACTCGAACGATGCAGCGGAGACAAGCCGTGAAATAAAGGCCTGACTAAGAGTGGCAAAGCTCACTGACGATGTCAAATAAGATGCCGGCGAAACATCTTGTAATGTACCACATTCACGGTTGGACGTAAAAATTATCATTACTATGATGCCAGAGCGCTCACGTGCCTTCAGCTAGGAAAATGAGGTCAACCACTTCTATATAGTGAAGAGACGCGACCATAATATGTGCCGCAATATCCTGGTATTCATACCTGCAGATAGTGTCTAAAAAGTATGTTAATTTATTAGAAAGGCACATATTTACGTTCCCCTTAGTTAAGACACCTTTGATACTCCAGATTAGATATGTAGTGAGAGAAAGGGTTTCCAATTCAACGAGAACAATGAGATAACTCACTGCTTGCTGACTCGTGGGCCCTGCCTATCGGCGCTTTTTAAGGCAGATCGAGGGCTAGTTAGGCTAGATGGACCGACTAAGCCGCCTAGTTCATCGCCTTGAGAAGAGACTTCGGAGATCCTGCTAGCATGGCGACCCAATGTACCTCCAAACGGTAGTGGCTGTTCATCCGAGAACTTCTACGCATTAAAGTAGGGCGTGCATAAAGAAGAAATAATAGAAAGTGAAAATTTTTTAAATTTCTCAGGAAAGCAGAAAACAAATGTAAGAATTGAAGAAAAATCATAGAAATCCTATTAATACGAGCTTAAGAGTTTGGGGCCAATACACATCCTGTAATACAATAATAAGAGAAGCCTATTGGAAGTATTTGCGCATTGTGCTATCAGTCGGCTTTCAATAAATACCTCACATATATGAATCAGTCAAAGTATAAATTTTGTGATTTTTCGTACAAATCGTAGACATAAAAGTAACCGTTTATTTTAGCCAAGACTTAGAAGCATGAATTATTTATTTTTGAAATGAAAACCTTTGCTGCTTTGACCTTAGGATCATACTAGGCTTGGTTTCAAAATCATGTTTCTATAAATTCGGAGGTGAGAATGTAACATGGCATTTAGTTATCTGGACACCAGAAAAAGAGTACCTAGTAAAGCTATTAAAATATAAATCGACACGATAAATCTTCTAGGTAAAACAATATCAACAGATAGACTAAACTTTTAACGCATATAAAGTTGCATATTTGTAGGTAATTAACTACATCAAAATAACCAGCTAGTGGAAAAAGTCACTATAGACAGACTGACTTAGGTCAAATTAATAGACCTTAAATTAATTCTTAAAGTGAATTGACAGTAGCGCAATTACCTGGCCACTACTTCTAACTTCTTCACTGACGTCGGCGTCAATCTCCGATGGAACACGCCCGATTGAAGCGGACCGACGCAGAGCTGATGTCCGAGGTAGGGTTCTGCTCTGTCCACCCAAAGGGTCAGAGTCAAGCTCCTTAAATAAGCTGACATTCCTTTCAGGTGGATTAGGGCCGCGCTGATATCAGTATAGCAAAGAATTATTATTAATATTTAAGGAAACACGGAGCTAAATAGGGTTTACTTGAAGCGCCCGTAAGGAAAGAGATGGCAAAAGAAAATAGTGCTAACTATTAAGGAAAGGATTTGATGGGTCAAGCTGTAGAGGCCAAATTTACAAAATAAATATTGACGCAAGTGAATAT